ATTCGTCACTCTGCACCTGCAAAGCTGGTTCGTCATTGACGATTGCATCACCAGCTTTGCAGGTGCAGAGTGACCTCGCGGCCATCCTCGCTCCCCACCTCACGCAGGATGGACTTGTGGTCAAGTACTTGGAGTTCGCTGACTCTCGTCGCGAGCACGTCATGGACTTCGGGAATTTAGGATGTGCGTTGATTGAAACGTGACTGGCCGGGACATCTGGTCTGTCTTTCACAATTGCTAAAAAAGGTCAAATGGACCATAAATAAAACAAGCTCCGGTCCTCTACGGACAGTTAGCCACTACACGTCCAATTCGAACGCAGAAAAAACACTTCGAGGACTCGCCTATCAATTGTGGTGGAACTCTATTTGAACGTCGAGTGTTCCCGCTGTCTGCTCGTTCTTTGTCTTCACTTAGGTTGTCGAAGTTTTTTGACGTCTTCCGCATGTCCATCTCATTTTTCTAGTTTCGTTTATGCCTGAAGTCTTTCTTGCAGTAATTTCCGTTTGATTCATTTTCTGGTCGAGTACCTCGAGTGCGTATAGAAGTTAGTTTCCGTGTGGCTTGAGGCTGCATTTGTTAATTAGCTAACCTAACATTGATCACGATCTTTCACTTCTGGATAGTCTTGTCTATGATCGTTTCCAGTTCGCAAAAGCTGGCAAATTGTTTCACCTCGTCCCACAGAATCATTGTTTTTGACATTCTGTGCCCCAAAATCTACGTCTCTGACAATTTTTCGGCCGGACTCACGTGCGGTCTAAATGAATATCTCCCAATGCAATGACCAAGGAATATCTTCCTAACTAATGAACGCAGCTCATATGAAACTTGGTATACGTGTTCATTAAAATCTAACAGTGATGTTGAGCTCGAAAAACTTATTTCCATTTCGTCTTCATTCGCAAGTTATACAGCAATACATAATTTGCAGTGACCAAAATATTCTAAATTACTGAACATATATGAAAGAAACTTTTGATATACATTCCTGACCTCCCAACGGTGATGTTTAGCTCATGGAAATTTTTTTCGATTTTACCTTCGTTTTCGAGATATAAGGTGCCCATCAGCTGAAGCACCGAAATAGAGGCCAAAGTGACCGACCGTTCACACTGCGTTGTGTAAACTATCATTTGAAGATCGTCAAGGGCACTAGTGGAGACTCTTTTTCAACGATGTTATTCAGGAAGCGCGTGCCATTGGTTGGCATATATTACTGAAAATTAATACACGTTGATAGGTACAGCGTTCACAAACGTCATGGGACATTGCAACAGAGGCACCATCTTGTGTCGCGCCACGTGTCTCCTTTCAACTGACAACCTGCCAGCTACCTCCCTGAAACTCTAAAACTCCGGTTAAATAGTTCGACCAAAAAGAATAAGTGCAAATGGAAAATTGCTTTCCAACCCAAAGTAATAAGCAAACCATAACTCTAACCTTACCGTGGACAATATTAAGCGTCAAGTGTTCACTGGGAAATGATTTAAAAGATAAGCATGGCCGCTGTCATGTCTTCCAGGCATGGCATAGATTTTTTTAAAAGCTCAATTTTTATTTGTTGGGATTCATCCGAGAACTTGTACATATGCGCCTTAAGTAAGACACTACGGAAACCAAGCTGACAGAACTAAAGCAATTGACGATGGAACAATTAAACCATAAATATTCAATAACTTAATAAATTACTTAATAATAAATAAATAATAATGAATAATAAATAAATCCAATGGCTTCGCCATTGAATTTATCGCTGTACTGTTAACGAGCTTCGCATCAATTTCTTTTGTTTGAGGGGAAAAAATCAATGAAATTGGTCGGAGCCACGGCTGAAGAAGGAGATGGTCGGAGCCGCAGCTGATGATTAAGTTGATCGGGGTCGTGGCGGATGATAGAGATGGACGGAGCCGCGGCTGATGATGAAGTTGGTCGGAGCCACGGCTGATGAGATGGAGTTGGTCGGAGCCGCGGCTGATGATGGAGTTGGTCGGAGCCGCGGCTGATGAGATTGAGTTGGTCGGAGCCGCGGCTGCTGATGGAGGTGTTCGGAGCCGCAGCTGATAATGGAGTTGGTCGGAGCCACGGCTGATGATGGAGTTGGTCGGAGACGCAGTTGATGATGGAGTTGGTCGGAGCCACGGCTGATGATGGAGTTGGTCGGAGCCACGGCTGATGGAGTTGGTCGGAGCCACGGCTGATGATTGAGTTGGTCGGAGCCGCAGCTGATGATGGAGTTGGTCGGGTCCGCAGCTGATGAAGTTGATCGGAGCCGATCGGAGTCCACTTTCCATCTGAGGTGTTATTTTACCTTTCCTAGTTTCGAAATTGTTCTTGAATTTGTTCATATATTCAATGTTCTTTTGAATGGCGTCTTCTTCTTCTGAAGAATATTTCTTCTCGTCCAAAAGTAACATGACCGAAAGCAAAAACAGTTGACTGTTAACTGTGATCGCAAACGAGTGTACAGAAATCATTTGTATTACTGAAACACTCCCTAAAAAACACGGGGGGAAAATTGTACCTGTCGAATTTAAGTTGCCAGGTTTTGATTGTTTTCATAACTTAAATGAAGAGCAGTGCAGTAGAGGTGTAGCATTGTGGGTTAGAACGTCTTATGGGGCCCAGCAAGTTAAGTAATCTGCAGAGCATCAATTAGCTATAGAACCAGTGTGGTGCGAACTTTCTCCAAAAGGAAATGATAGCCTCCTCTTAGGTGTGAATAGATCACCGAACAGTTCTTCTGATAAAGTACTAAACAGCCTTTCACCGAGCATTACTTTCAGCAGGTCGCATACGTTGATCGTTGGTGACTTTAACTATCACAAAATGTATTTGGTAGATAAATCGGAATCCTCTCCAAAGATATAACATCTTCAAAAACAGACTAGACGAAGCTATGCAGGAGCATATGTTCATTCTTAAAATGCCTAGCAAATTACCGACCAGGCAATAAGTCCAGCAGCTATCTCAATCAATCGTCAGCTATGGAAAGATCGGGTTCCAAAGGCCGGATCCCTTGTGAATCAAGTCACGAAAAGTTCAAGAATCGGCAACAGGCCATGGGCGTATTTCTTCAGTGCCGACACTTCTATTCTATTCTAAGAGATGGAAATCACCCTGCACCCATGTTCTTGGAGTCAGTGCGAGACTCACTTATTATCCAGAGCATCACCGATCCAACTCATTTTAGGGGAAAACAGACCCCAAATATTCTAGATCTAGTGTTTGCTAGCTTGAGAAGATGAACACAGACTGAGTTACGAACTCATAACTATTTTGATAGTACGGACAGGCGGCCAGCACCATGTTGACTATGGACTATGGCAAGTGGCAAACTGTATGGCAATTGATCAAACTGTAGTATTAGATCATGAAGCCAATTTAACTTTCTTTAGATACTCTGAATTTTTAGTTAAATTGATGCCATTAAATTTTCATGGCCATTTCAAATAATCAAGCATAAAAACTACATGAAATTGTGTCTAAAAGTATAAGATAGTTTTCTAGCAGAAAGTTTTCTGTAGATAGAAAATATTCAGTTTCCGAGTATAACTGTACTGTAATTTAGCAGAAATTATGAGTTGTTAGCTCATACAGCATCATTGTCGATCAAACTAATTACGTTGTTCAGAAAAAACTATTATAAATTAATGCAAATTTTATTATTTCGTTCGGTCAATTGGCATTCAAGATGAAATATTTGTTTTAAATTTTTTTAATACATGGTGCCGAATGCAATTGCCAGTTGTCTTTTTTAATAAAAGATATGAGTGAGCTGAAATTCTCAGTTGATGGTAAATCAACATTAAATATAATCCTAACATGCGACAAGTAATTATAATTCAAACGACGGCGGAACATACACATAAGTTACACGCGTTTCTAGCAAGGGGCTAACTTGAAGTCCTCCCGGTCTAACCGCCATACGTTAACGTCACTCACTTTACTATCATATTTTCGGAATGTGGAACCTATGGTAATCAAGTTACTTAAGAGTCGTGAACTTAAAATTACTTAGGGTTCCAAGCGTGCGAAAGAATGGCGCTATAATTTTAAAGGCTTTGACTTCTATATTCTATTTGACTACATGCAGAGACGGCTTCTGTTAATTAAATGAATTATATTCGGTGTATAAACTCGCTTAAGGTATACACTGGGCTAGTATTAGGTCCGAGTATTCGGTGCTAGTACTCGCACTCCGAATATTGTTATTTTTTTATTATTACTGACCATCGTCTACCCTTCACACGAATGACATTGAAACTACACCGCATTCGACTTGATATCGATGAAAAAATATTTAATTGATATTAGAGGCATGGTGGACGTGTGGCTGAGTTGCACTAAAGTTTTCGCAAGTCTCACATTGATTTAACCCATGATTGAATTAATTTATATTAATTCAACCATGGGTTTAACCTGCATGAACATACTGACAGGTTAGCCGTGCGTGGTTCCGGATAAGATATACCTGCTATTTGAGACTCTCGTGATCAAAAATTCAGCCGTTCCTAGAGTAGGTCATAATTTTGAAACTATACCAGGAATGCGGAACGGAATGTAGTCCCGCTATAGCTGTCGAATTTATACGTTATAAAGTTTTCGGTGTGGCACTTTAGTTTTAAACGGAGTAATTTGGGTCCGATTTTAAGGATGATCGAGTAAAAAATTAACAAAAAATTTGTTAAGAAGAAAGGTGAACAGTGTTGCCAATTTATTTGTTCACTATCGACTTGTTGCAAATAGTTCTTTTAACACAATAATTTTTAACGTGTTATTTATGAGCTGTAATCAGTACATTGAAACTTCGGTTGCTGTAAAATTAAACTAAGAAATAGCTAAATTCATTGTGACTTGAAATTTGTTCTGCGTAGATGTTAGTTAAGCCGCATCCAATTAGTTTTATCTTTTTCATATTAATTGCATACATGACCGGATTGTTTTAATTTTGATTACGACAGGAGACCGAGTTGTTAGTTGAGCTTGGCACGCACTAGTGTCAGACTGTCAGTGCCTCGTTCGCTGCCGTCGTGTAAGGGTGTCACTCAAGCTCGTCTTGCGGTAACCTTTTCAAGCAATGGTGAGTATTTTCACATGGACGTCATTATTTCACTATAAATAAGAGATGTTAAATGCTTTATTCGACTATGCTCTAACAATACTCATGATCCTATAATTTTGATAAAGAGATACATAGATGGATGTTTAAAGGACTGACGACGAGAGATGTTACTAAATTGGACTTTCCGTGCCGTCCTGGAGGCCTTTTATTTTTTGTAGACCTTTGTAGTTTATTCAACATTATTGGGTCTATTAGATATGATCAATGTTTTTAAGTTATATTTACTTTCACTTTTAAATTACGTGTACCTGCTGTTTTATTATCATGACATATTTCTCCATGTTTTTCAGTACACAAATTCGCGCAAAATAGAATGTTCACTTGATTTATTCGAGAAATTATCAGCGTGATGAATATGAAAATCAATAGTCGTAATCATTAATACGAATTCCCCTCCACCTCAAAGTTTGAAAAGATTGTCTCGTTTTTCGTTTTGATCCATTAATTTTGTCCTCATGGAAACCCATTTCATCCAAATTTGTCCACATGGCTTCGCAATTTCGTCCCCGTTGCGTCTCCCATCAATAGAGTGACGTTCGGAAATGTCGCATCGTTCTCGTCAAAGTTATCTCGATCTGACCCCATTAAAAATTGATTAAGTGGCAAATTTCCATTATAATTTAAATTCGAGTTTATATAAAGATCGTTGTAAACCAGTTCAAAGAAATGAATCTTGATTAGCGTGGCGGAAATCCTGCGTAGCGTGACGGCAGCAGCGCGGTGTAGGAATCTCGGCTTCCGGATCAGGGGCCAGTCGTGGACCTCTAACATCGTGCGCAGACTCGAAGCAAAATGTTTTTGTTATTCAGAATTAGTATGCGCTTGAAAATTATAATGAGGGAATGTAGTAAAAAAATCCTAAATTATCGCATTATTAAGTGGGAAATGCTTATCTATTATCATGTTAAAATGACTTATTAATATAATGTTACCATATTGCAAGGATTTAAAAATTGCCTCATTATCAACTATTGTTTTAAGCATTCTGAAACTATTAGTTTTAAGCCATCGAAACTATTAATTTTTCGTACAAAGAAGGATTACGCTCAGCTCGATGCGACAAAGCAGCACTCAGCGTTAGTTATAGGACGCTGTGCACTTCACGACGTACGCAACCATACGCTGCATGTATTAGAATCTTTACATTATATATAAAATAGCTCCTTTAATGTTTTATCCGTAATGATTTTGTTATAGTAAATAAGGCTTTTTTATAAACATCTCCCAAGAAAATTTGTCCTAATTCGGGTTATTTATTCAAAAAATGTCACGTTCAGGCTATTTACAATTGTAATAACTACTCATATTACACAAATATGTAGGAAAAATCTTATTTCAAACGAGTGTCAAACGAATTGGTAAGATTAAAGACACGAATTATTTAACCTTAGGCTCGCTAGATACAAAGACATTTCAGTCTTTATGTCTAGGGGCAAAATATTGTGTCATGCAGTGGTTAGTTGCATAATATATGCAGCAGTTATTTTTATGGATTAAACACTAGTTGCAAAAATCGACGGAAAATTCAGTTAACAAAGTTCAAATGTTAAAATCGTCAATAAAATTTTCTTGCCAATTCTAGTTTTTCATCAGAATCAGTTTTAGCCATGCGTAAACGGATCTCATAAATTAATGTAGAGTTCGTGAAATCATTATTCCCATGTCAGAAGCGTCGATCATTCGTCGGTTTCGATACGTTATCGCCGTATCTCACTTGCAATGCGATGCCGATTCGTGAGAGCGGGGTATTGCGCAACGTGTTATCTTTGCTGTATTGAATTATTGATTACATTTTGATTAGTTTGTTTCAGAAATACCTTGTCTAAGCTATACAAATCTTTCCTCAATTTCGTTCAGCTGACGGTTAAAAGGTTTGAAATTAAAAATTTTCTGCTGTAATGTATTAAATAATCTTCAACGCACCAATAATTCAGTTTCTGTTTCAATGAAGGAAACGCACACCTGCCTATTTTATCTTCATGATTTTCTTACTCAATGTCTTTCTATAATAAAAATGAACAAGACTTTTCTGAAACAACCTGTTTCCAGAAGAGGACGAGCAAATATTTTATATACGTAAAAAGATATTATAGGTAATTAGAAAAGTTAAAATTCAATCTAAATCGATTCAGTTATTTATATTCGGCACTATTTATGCCAAAGAAATGTTTTTTTTTTAATTTAATACACATCATATAATTTAAACTTATGTATAAATTTTCTATTTACTAATCATTTATAATTTAAATTTTAATTTAAAATAGAGCTTTAAAGCTTAAAGTAAGTAATAATTAATTTGACACTATTCATTTAATTTGTACCATGTTGGAAATCAATTGCAATTTCTTTAGCCCTTCTCCTTTTTTCCAATATCCAATGATTCCGGAACCAAAAATCGTCAATCAGGCCAAAGTAATAATATCGATTTAGATGACCTAAAGACGATGCGCACCAAAATAGTCTAAAATGTTTGATAGATTATTCACTGAACATGACACTAGCCGAAAATTGCATACATGTATGCTGAATTCAACTCTAATTGAGCTCCAGCAATAAATTAGGTTACATGATAAGGCTGCTTGCTCCATCCCATGGTCTTATAAAAAAATATAACTCAGTACTCACTGCAGTGAGTGACAGAGAGCGCATTTTTTCGTCGACGAAAACTTGAGGTCACGGACGGACGGACAGACAGACAGACAGACGGACATGGCGAGCACAATAGTGCATTTTTTCCATAAATGAGAAAATGCGCTGAAAAGCCTACACAACGCGGAACGTATCAATTTGCCGTCGTGTAAGGTGCGCAGCAATTGAATTGTGTTACACGCAGCTCTTAATACAATGGCACGGTTTCTCGTGAACTGCTGTAATTCCAGCAGATATCTAGATCAAGCTGTCCGATGGCCTGATTCATACAGCTGGTGGAGATGCCGCTGGTGCACAGCTGTTAACAGGTGTTAGCATAGCTGTCTATGTAACTCAGCGGACAGGAGTAAGTCTGTATAGTGCACAGTCTGTATGTGCACCGAGTCGATTGTGTTGCAAAAGTAACACGGCCACTTTTGCACAGCTGTTAGCAACTGTATGTGTGACTGCTTGCCAAGCTCGTACAGCTGCTGGCAGATGTTCAGCAGCCGTAGTCAGATATTACCGAAGATTTTACATCAAATTACTAACTACTATCGGCCACAGGGTGCGATAGGTTCGTTAGACATCATCGGATCGAAAGACACTCAATATTGTCTTATATTTCGAAAGTATACTCTTAGGTCCCTAGTGAAAACTTTAGAGTTTAAGATATTGTAAATACGTCAGGTGATTTCGTCACTTGAATTTCCAGTTCCTTAAAATAGTTCTGATTTTCCTGTTTTAATAGACTTTAGTAACTTTTGGACTTTGCAGCATGTATTGTGTAATAAAGCGGTTTACATTTATTTAAAAATTTTTAACCAGGTTATAATTCCTCTATTTCTAGTGTTTTCTTTCATATTTTTAAAATTCACCATGTGAAATCTTGAAAAATTGTAAATAGTTTTTTGCATGGTGGCCCAACGTCTTTTCATATAAATTTAGTAACAATGCATTCGTGTTTTATTTTTGTTATTCGTGTTCTTGTTGACGCCGTAAGCTAGAGTGGCAGAGGCGCGTGAAGTAGCATTGTTGAGTGCAAGCCAAGATGCGGAGAGGGGAATGGAGGGCTTGTGATCTGTTCATCCCTTAACGAGAGGAATAGTGAGGGAAAATGGGGGATGTGAGGAAAGGTGGGGGTAAGGGCATGTGAAGGGGGGTTTAGGATGTGGAGGTGGGGGTTTAGGATGTGGGGGTGTGGGATGTGGAGGCGTGTGATATGATGAATAACCGAGGACGAAAGGATGAATGTGGCTTGAGGGGAAGAATGGCTTGAACCGAAACAGGATCTGGCAACAGAAAACTGGGAACCGGCGTTTCATCGCTGATATATGAGTGCGAAAATATATTTTACAAGTAAATAGTAAATTATTCAATCAAAAACTACACAAAAATATCCAATTAGATGGCAAGTATCCAATTACATTAATTTAAAATAAAATCCCCATTATTCAATTCGTTAATCTTACAGTTATGATATTGCAAGAGTTTTCTCTGGAGTGATACTAAATTTCTGAAGGCTTTGCCACATAGATGAACGTATGTGAAAGCTGTGAATAAGTAGGTCTTGCAAATTCACACCGAAGATCTGCCTGCTTTTCTCACAATTAACAATTAAGTGCTCTAAACCATTTATTAATCACCCAGTTCTGAGCACCCATTTTCAAATAGCACGTATATTAAGGCACTCTTATAAAGCTCAGCTTTTTACCTCAATCTCCAAATGTTTCCCAATAAATATTGCAAGATGTAAGCCCATCCTAGACTCAGCCACGTACCTCAATTTCCAAATGTATATCTAGTTTAACAATACGTGCATTAAGCCTTCCTAAAGAAACTTATCGATCTTCTTAAGCAAATGCCAACGCGACGTGGGAATTTGCTTTAAAAATATGTTAGACGTTGCGGATGCCACGAACCTCAATCTTGAAGTGTCCCATTAAAGACGACGCGCATTTAAACCTTATATTGGTACTCAGCAAAGAACATCGATTTTAAATTGCTTCCCATGAAATAAAAAATATAACTCAGTACTCACTGCAGTGAGTGACAGAGAGCGCATTTTCTCGTCGACGAAAACGTGAAGTCACGGACGGACAGACAGACGGACAGACAGACGGACAGACAGACGGACAGACGGACGGACGAACATGACGAGCACAATAGTGTATTTTTCCATAAATGAGAAAATGCGCTAAAAACGCTTCACGCCTCAGTCTTGACTCCCCATTTCCCAATCGTTTCCCTTCAATTTTTCAATCGCTTCCCATGTCTCCCATTAAAGAATGCGTGCATTTAAACCTTACATTGAAACTCAGCCACGAACATCAATTTTAATTAATTAATTTTATTTCCTATCAAATAACAAATGCTTCACGAGTCTTGACTCCCCATTTCTCCCCGCAGGCCGCAGAGGTGAAGCGCGCAGAGTTGGACCTCAGTCCCCTCAGGGCTGCCAAGCTCCCGGTCATCTTCGTCCTTGGTTAGAATTTTCCCCGTAATATTGCTGTGATACCAAATAAATGCTTCTACTTGAAATGAGCTTTAATAGTTCTAGTGAGACGCTTCAATTCAATTTAAATAACAGGAATATCTCCGATTGGTCAATATTTTGGCATCTCCAAAACTGCATTCGCTGGTGAATTTTATGATATCGAGTTCATTCCCAGAGTCTCATTTATTTAATAATATTGACGGTATCGTTATTTCATCATCGTAAAAGTGAGGAAAATAGTCCCATTGACCCATTATTAATATACGACTAATTTTACGCTGGCCCCTGTTTGAATTAAGATTTCTAGTTTGATTTATTCTTTGTCAAGGTAAGCCTATTGGTCCGAGATATTTTTGTTAAAATATGCTTAATATTGCGGTGTTCAATTTTTAAAGGAATAATTCGTTTAATAACATAGGTCTAGTAGTAACCATTTCATATAGATTGGTGCGCGTACAAAGAGCGACGAATAACTAGGATCACGAATCCCTATAAATGAGCTCAATGTTTCTATCCTACCTGAATTACACCGCATGTAATGAGTCAGTAAGTTCCAATAGTCCCTCGGTTCCGTCATTAATATAAGCCTTATATTTTAATACCCTTATTTCCATGCCATGTCATGCGTGCTGTGCCGGACAGGAGGCCCTGGGTGCGGCAAGGGCACGCAATGCGAGAAGATCGTGCAGAAGTACGGCTACACGCACCTCTCTTCAGGCGACCTCCTCAGGGACGAGGTCGCCTCGGGCTCGCAGAGGGGAAAGGCCCTCAACGCCATCATGGAGAAGGGAGACCTTGTGCCCTTGGTAGGGGGTTGAAGAGAGATTTGGAATATCATTAGACGCTAAAAGCATCGGAATTTAGTGAGGAAAAAATATATATTTTTTGTCTGTCAGACATATTTCGTTCCTTCGGTTAATAGAAGTAAAAGAGGCACTATATATGTTACTATATATAAATAAATATACTATATAAAATACTATACTATATTTTACTATATATAAAATACTATAGAGGTTCTATATATAAAAAACGATATAGCGGGACTAGATAGATTGTCCCCATTGTAACTAGAAAGAGTTCTCCCGAAGTAAGTGAACCTATAAGTGCAGAAATCTTTCTTACCTTGTGACAGTAAATGCAGGGAGTTGGCCGGAGTTCATGTCGGAGTTGGTGCTCTAGACCACAGGGGTTGGAAGATAATTACTTTAACCAGAGTCCTGCGATGGCAGAGAAACATCGGACTTACGAGTGTATCAGAAATGTGAGGTTTTGTGTTTTTAAGAAGCCGATGGAAAAGAAGGTATTGAAATCGAAAAGTTTTCTGATAAGCTAATGAACTGGAAGTACAGTTCTCTTTTTGCAACTCGAAAGAAATCTCGAGCATCAATGCCCATCCACTCAGAGTGTTAGGACTTCAAACAAACAAATTTTGATGTCAATTATTATTTGAAGTTTATGTATATTGCGGCGTCTCTTTTAGGAAGTGGTGCTGGACCTGCTGGCAGAGGCCATGCTCAAGAAGGTCTCATCTTCGAAGGGCTTCCTCATCGATGGCTACCCTAGAGAACAGGCTCAAGGTGTTCAATTCGAGAACTCGGTGAGGATTTTGAAACAAGAACAAAATATTTACTCGCTATTTTATTCTAGCACATTTAGAAGATTGATAAATGCAAAGTGCTCATGCAAATAACAGTCCAATAGGTAAATTTTACCTAAATATGCACTTAGATTATAATTTGCGGATGATGTCTGTCTCTCTGGCTTACTGTAATCTCGGAGGCTGTTGAATGTAGAAATATAATCTGTAGAAGTTGACCAAGATTAAGTTTCTTTCTGCAGATTCTTCCGTGCACGAAGGTTCTGTACTTTGAAGTGCCGGACGAGGTGATGGTAGAGCGGCTCCTGAACCGAGCCAAGACTTCAGGCCGCGTGGACGACAATGAAGAAACCATCAAGAAGCGTCTGGCCACATTCCACAAGCACAGCGAGCCTGTCATTGATTATTACAAGGGGAAGTGTGCCAGAATTGTGGCAACATCCAGCCCCGATGCAATCTTCGCTGAAGTTCAAAAGGCACTCGATGCGATATAAACTTGGTGCAAAGAAGCTTCAACACGTGTATTGCTTCCATTCAACAGAGCGTCTATAACCTGACATTGTATGCGAGGAAGCAAAATAATATGCTGAGGTGTTAAAAGGGGCATGAAATATTTGTTAAGAAAATCCAATCAAAATATGGACTCGCTGTTAGGAAACTGTTTTTCTTCCAGAACACGGGAGAATGGCTTTATGATTTATTTCACGGCTTTAAGAATTTGAATGAGGCTTATTTAGTTTTGTCCTATACTGGCTGTTACTTCAGTGGTTACATCGATTATCTCTACCAGTATTCAAGATATGTTAAACATTTGACCTGGTATGGTAAGGATCCTTACAAACCATTACTCCTCATAACCACTCTGGTGTTAATTAGGCTTCCAAATCTGTTTCAAAATTTCATTCGTACTTAGCTGAAAACCAAAACATTTTTTTACTACGCCATAAAAATTTATTCGAAATGTTTACCTAGAACAACAAGGTGCGCTTCAGAACCCACTTGAAATTTCGTATGAAATGTCAATATATTTAAGCCTATTTCTTCTTTATTCAAAATGGTTAAATAGTATATGAATGCAGCGAAAGAACAGCTAGTGCCTATACCATGCAATCGCTCAGTACTTCCATTAACTTGCCATTTATAGCTCTGAATAGATATTACTTCTAATTAAGCACACTTGTTATGCGGCCTCTGCACCGCTTTTGCACTTTGTTGTCTATGCTTTTAAGATAGTGATTACGTAAAATGAGCGAAGGAAATGCTGCAATGCTTCCAACTTATCAAGACAACATATCATTTACGCTGCTTAATTAGTTTAAGAAAACGTACCATGTTTCCATACAAGTCTCAAGTTAGCTTCTCTTTATTCACGCTGATTTGAGTGTACGATTATTATCATAAGTGATAATGCTGATAAACAGCGTGGATTATTGTTATTTGAGTCAGTTAATAAGAAGAATTTATTGCTTATTTATAGAAGCGTTTATCTCACAGCTTGGCACATGAGCTGCCGTGTCGCAGAACTGGAAAATAATCACAGTGTATTTATAGCAGAGCAAAATAAGCTCGTCCTATCGGATTTCAAAGTGAGCGAACATAAAGAACTATTCTAATCTCATAACTATTTAATTTAATTGCTTCAAATTTGAATACGATGTACTTTTTCTTCGACAACGTTGAACCAAATTTCCCTCTTTATCAATTTGTCTACTTATGGCAGCTAGATCCTACTCCTCCACATATGAAGACAATTTATTTATTAACGATTAATGTGAATTCTTAAACGAAAAGTTAATAATGGATTAATTGTACCTTCTAATTTCAATTTAACGGTTCCTGTTTAAGAATGAAGGATGTAATTGTAAATGATATTTTTTACTCGTACAAAGGTACAGTGATTATTTTTACCCGTTTAAAAATTCAATTTAAATCTTCATTGCCTAAGATGCTCTTCCATAACTGATGCAATTTGTTCACGAAATCGTTACACATAAACAATTTCTCAATCCAAAAATTGTGTTTTGTTGTCCTCTCACTTAATGTGATGCAGTATTCTCCGCATGAAATAATCTAACAATATAGAGACGTTATTGTATTATAATATATCACTCGAATAATAGCGAGGATATAAATATCGTTCAACGTATACGAGTAACAAATGCCGTAATTAAATAAATATCATCAAATGCAAAGAGCAATGCAATAATAATGCTTATGTTAATGCCTTGGTTGCTAATTAATTGTTATTTCAGTAGCTCGGTTTATGATTAATTAATTTGTTTGTTTATTACAAGTTCATTAACCGACTTTATGAGGGATTGTGTAAAATGCGTTCAAAAAAAACATTTACGAGCACATAAAAGAGTAATAAATAACAACAACAAAATGAACAATACAAAATTAGAAGCAGTTAAGCCTTGCCTTCAAGCTTATCCGCAAGCCGTATTAAGATTCCATCAAGATAATTGGGATATCAACATTTAGATCAAAATTTTAAAATTTTATCGAATATAACTACCCTAAATATTACGTTGGCAGCAGTTCACTTATGGCTGTCCGATATACTTAGTTTGTACTCTTTTTTTCCTTTTTACTGCCAATAAATGGAATTTTGATGGCTGTGCAAGCAAGGTTGAACTAGCCTTGCAGAGTTCATTAAGCACACAGGCACATTGTTGGGATGTTATGCATCAAGATTAATATGTTTTGTGCGACAAAGATTACAAACAACACTTATGCATCCGAACGCACTTGTGGTGACGAAGAACTTTTTGTTCTTCTTATCTAGATATTATCATGGGTAATTATCTAAGTAAACATGTAGGTACTCGTAATTTATTGTTCTCAATTCATGCACTTCGGCTCAATTACATATGTTACAATGTTGATTAGTTTTATTAGTGTACTATAAGAAAAGTTAATGAATGTAAATGGTTCTCTATTATATTCACTTTATTGTGAACGTTATTCTGTTTAAATTTGACATGCACCTAAAGGTAATCGTCCATTACAATGTACATACAAAACTCCTGTTCCTTGCACCAGCTAATGTTTTCGTTATTTATGTTGCGTTAACTTGATTGTAGACTTACCATGACGTTCACGAGAAAATGAAGAATAGTAGATAAGTGCAGAGAATATACGAGTAGAAAAACAGAGTTGTATTCAGTTGTAGCGAAGAGAAGAAAAATGAATGAACATTATTCCTTGAGTCATGGTTCTAAATTAAAAATAAAGAAAATGGTTCGACGTAAGACAAAACACTCGAGTTAACAAGACAGACTGAAATAATATTTGACAAAGATTGCGTCTGTTAACTTTTTAAGAACGTTGGTATTTTTGACAGTTTATGTCAACAATATAACTATGTACATCAAAATATTTAGTTCGAGACCCTAATTAGTTAACGATTGTGTTAAAACTTAGATATAATATAGGTTATCAAGTTCAAGTCTGAAAAAAAACTACAAAATCATAATAAAGTTATCTGAAACACAATCAATGGACATGTCGCACGCATGATGATAGATAAATAACAGTCCTGCCACGTTTATTAGTGGCAAGACTTACACATGGTTTGTTAGTAATCATTTGCGATTGCTAGTCTTCCAATATTTATTTTAATTCTTTAATGCTGCAGAGAAACGGTGCTGATTAAAAGATTTGACATGTGCATGTGGCCCCGTCAGCAGGTTAAATGAGTAAATTAGTCAAATGAAAAAAAGCGGATGAATTCCATGTTATTAATAATATTTCGAGAACTAAATCTGTGTGAAGCTAGATGCAGTCTATAGTGCGGCTACACATGTTGCGGCTACACATGTTGCAGCTACACATGTTGCAGCTACACATGTTGCGGCTACACATGTTGCAGCTACACATGCGCTACACAAGTTGCAGCTTATTGCCATATTTCTGTCCGTGACTGCGCTATAGTCACGTTTTATCGATACAATAGAATCGAAATGACAACGATACGCCACAAATGCTAATCTAAAATTCTAATCGAGAGCAATGCTGGCCCAAAATATCCCCTTCAGGCAAATTATGCCGAAACATCGTTGATTAGAAGTTTATTTCGTTGACATCGACTGGCGCATTGTGTCAGGACAATTATTAAGTTATCGTTCAGTGCAGTCTTTGAAAACGCTAGGGGCATGTGCTAGGCAAATAGTAAGTAAAACGCTAGGCAAATAGTAAGTCATCAATCTGTGCAGTCTCCTAACACGCGGTAGTCATGACAATCAGTATTTCAGGGTTTGGTCAAAGCTGATAAGCTAAAATAGCAGATGGGCCTTAAACCATCGAGATAAAACGTCTTTGAATCCCTGCTGATAACGCGGGCATGTGGACGCTTGTTTTAGTTCGCGCGAACATTGCAGTCAGTTTGAATAAACATTTGAAATCTAACCCTTGGAAACATTAATCTCATATTGAACTAAACTTCTGACCCTGATTTTTCTGAGAGCAATGAATGCTAAACCGAAACTTCAAATTGAATTTTGCTCACCCTGCAAAATTTTTCAAAACCCGCAGTTTCCAAATTAAATATGTTTATATTTCTAGAAAATTTAATACGGTTCATTCATATTTCAATGCGCAACTACATTCATCGCTCGCTGAGTAACGGCCGAGGCTCCTACTACATCCTAGTAGGATGTAGTAGTAATCCTCCTCCTACTACATCCTAGTAATGGCCGAGCATACCGCGCTATGCGTAGGCCTACATCCTCTAACTACTCGTGCTAACCAAAACTATTCTGGCTATTATTTGAGCTTCATAGCATGGATACCATCACGTTTTAAAGGCTCCTCTTGTGGCAAGCGTTTGGTGAGGCGGGTATACTCATGGTTGAACTAGTAGTATATAGTTCAACAATGGGTATACTCATGGTTGAACTAGTAGTATATAGTTCAACCATGGGTATACTCATGGTTGAACTAGTAGTATATAGTTCAACAATGG